CAGAGAATATTTAAAACTTACAGAATATTTAAAAATATTACAGAGAATATTTCTGTCACTTCAATGTACATACACATCTTATCTAATGAGGCCTATAGAAGGTAGCATCATTTATACAAAATCTCATGTGTTTTCAGAACTGGCTTATCATATAATTCTATGCAATCAACCCTTGTTTTCCTTAGGTATGGAGAACTCAGCAACATACCAATATGCTGATATATTACATATTATATAAATTGTTATTTGGGGTTCATTTATTTTTTATGTATATGAGTGCATCTACAGATGGCTATGAGTCTCCATGTGCATGCTGGGAACTGAACCCCAGTCCTCTGTAAGGACAGCAAGTACTCTTAACCACTGGGCTATCTTTCCAGACCAGTATGTATTTTTTTTTTAAGATTAACAATCAGCTTCTTTCTTTCCTTAAGTTCCTAAGACACCCACTTAATCCTTCTGCAGCCTGGCGTTGGTGTGAAGCTCTGCCTCTAGTTCCCAGTAATCCCTGCCATGACCCTCAGCACCCTCAGCCCACTGTCACTGCTCATTACTAGACTGACACTTCCTGCTGGCACCCAATCCGAAGCTCCAGGCACCTGCTGCCTTGTTTCAAAGCCAGCAGACTGCTCCTAGGAACACCTTACATTCAGGTTCCAAGACAGCGAGTATAGTAAGAAAACAGTATTAGAAAGGTTCCATACTTTATCAGAAAGCCTATTAAGTTACCTAAAGGCACGAAACATTGATGTCTGCAAACTTCCAGAACACTCTCTGAACAGAAGCACCCTGGATGTGCTTTCTTTCCCTCTAATCCATACTGTCCTGTGAGGACTGCCAGCTAAAGACACTCGCAGATGCAGAAACAACTTTCGGGAAAATATGTTCAGGAAGTCTCTGTGTTGGTAGCTGTAGAACTGTGAGGGCAAACTCTGGCTTTTCTTTATTTGACCACTTATTTTGCAATTGAGATCAGGAGAGAATAGACCATGGGAAACAGTGACCAGGACCCTGCGGTGACAAATGTTAAGTCAATGAGGGTGGCTGCCTGAAAATAGGATTCACAGGAAGATGACAGATACAAAGCCAGAGTTTTATTATATCAGGGGGTTCTTTCAGTCCCACACATGTCTACTAATTGCTCTCTGTTCCAACAACTTCACAGAGCTGAGAATTGTTTACATCTACAAATGCCTACAAAATAGTATTTATTATGTCATATTTATTAATAGCTGCAGAAATAGCCACATGCTACCGTGGTCCCTAATATCACTCAGTACTCAACTGCTACTTCCCCTTCAGCTAGAACCCTTTAGTCCTCATCTTACGACTAAGTGGCTTTGGCATTTCTGCAGACCTCAGGCTTGTGTCAGAGACAGCCACGGACACCACTATCCACCCTCATTCCACAGCAGCTTCCACTCAGCACTCCACCCCCCAGCAGTATCTGATGCTGCCCACTTCGACCAGAGCTCCCTGGCCCAGAGCTGGTCATAGGCTTTCAAGCCCAAAAGGGCACAGCCATTCTTTGGAATTTCACCATCATCACCTTCGCAGGCCTGTATTTGTTTTATTGCCACCAGTCAGGTGTGCATAAGTCTTCATAAAAATGTATCACTTGTGGTGAAGAAATTGCTCACGCCAGTTTGTGAGTGGGCCTTATCATGGGCAAAAAAGGTTTGTGGAAGAGTGTTCCCACCAACTACATGGAAAAGTCTCACTCTGAAACTCGTGAAGCCTGTTCCCATATCACTGGCAGAAGGGACAAATGACTATCTGGGGTGCCTATTGGCACACCAATGTGCACGCTGGCCTCCAGGCTCCCTAATTATCACAGGCACCTGTTAGACATTTCAGAGTCCAACCTGGCACGCTGGCTCTGCTTACCTCGCCTACCCTAGACATCTCCAGCTCATGGGCTTCCCTCTCTACAGCTGCGCCCATTCTCCTCAGAACCCTGCTCCCTAAGCTCTGCTCTCTTCGCCGTCCTCTCTTGATCCTCTCTCTCTCTTCCCTCCCTCTCTCCTCTCATTGCCAGGCCCAGTCCGCTGTCCCTGCTCAAGTCTACTGCTTTCCCTCTCTGCTCTGGGCTCTTCCAGACGGTTCTCTCCTTCACATCTACAATAAAACACCTTCCTCTGAACCACAGCATACGGCACCATGTTATCAGTTTAGACACTTCCCAGCTTCAACATGTCTTGATGTTTCTCTTAACTGCAGGCAGGCCCCAGGGCCTGGACCCTAACCAGTCATCAAAGGGTTCAACTCACTGGCACCGCTGTGAGCAGCATCTCCACTAAGGGAATGTGAGGAATTCAAACTCAGCAAGCGAGAGCACGTGAAGAAAATAAGAGATCTTGTGTATCAAGTATGGAAGTAGTTTAAAACAAATAACCCACCCTCACAAAGCCTGTTTTCGCGTCTGTTCAAAGTCGTGGAGTGGCAGAAGCATCAGTCTGCAGCACCTGGGTGTTCTTCCTAGCCCCAAGGGAGAGGAGGTTGGCCTTCAGGCAACCAAGGCTCACGGGTGGGCTGCAACAGCACACTCTGGGACAGGGCTCTTGAAACAGAGTTTAATTAAACCATCCTCAAATATTCAACATCCTGGTCCCAAGCCCGGCCACTTGCCAGAGCTGTACTGCCTTTGCTGTTGGGTCCACAGAGATAGACCCACATCCTCTCCAGGAAACGTTAAGATGTAACTTACACCGAAGTCCTGGGTCAGTACTGTACAAACCAGAGCTGGGAAACAGCTAGAGTGGGTGGGGGAAAGAAGCATCCAGACCAAAGTGTGGACATCTTAGTTCGTGTAAGGGTTAAAGAAAGGGAAGTGATAAATGAGCTGGGAGAAACAGGGTAAGGACCGAATGGCAGGAGACTAGCAAGTGGTACTCACTTGCTTTCAAAGTAGGAACAACACAACAGCACGCATCCCTGAGAGACGGCTCCAAAACTGCTGCCAAGGGTCAATAATACCTCAAGAAATCAGTGGTATGTGTCTTTCTTGCCAACAGAGGCCCATAAAACAATGCCTCCTAGAATGTGTCTATAACTACTAAATTACCCAGATTCTATGTTTAAAATTAAAACTTTATATTTCAATTATATTTATTTATTTATTTTTCACCAGACAGGGTTTCTCTGTATTGTTTTGGAGGCTGCCGGTCCAGCCTGGCCTCGAACTCACAGCGATCCGCCTGCCTCTGCCTCCCGAGTGCTGGGATTAAAGGCATGCGCCACCACTGCCTGGCTATATTTCAATTATTAAAAAGCAAAGCAAGTTCATTATTCCTAAGACACTGAATTTCGGAATCTCGGATCTAAATCTATTTCTTATAAACAAAGAGAAAAATCAGAAACTCCCATATACTGAATAGTAAAATTATGATCTGAGTGTTCTTTTTATCTGTAACTTTAAACTGTCCTTCAGGGAGCACGTGCAACTATTTTATGAGGATCAATCATGCTAAGATGGAACTTTAAAACACACACACGGATAGCTGGGGAGACTCTCAGAGGACCCGGATTCAGTTCCCACACCCACATGGCCGCGCTCAACCATCTGTGACTCCGGTTCCAGATATGACCTCATCTTTTGGCCTCTGAGAGCACCTGCATGCAATATGGTATGTGTATATACATGCAGACACATACTTACATATGTAAAAAAATAAAAATAAATCCTTTTTTAAAAAACACATTGCAAGTGTCCCCCACAATGTCTCGCTAGTGAAAAGTGGGCATTTCCAAGAGTTACTGGTGGGCGGTTGGTGTCTAAAACTCTGTACTGGTCACCTACCCTTTTGAAAGTGACAACAATGGTACCAGGTGCCATGTAGGAGTTAGGGAACGCCACAAAGTCCCACCAGCTCAAGGAAACACTGCCGCCTCCTCACTGGAGCGTGGTGAGCTGGGTGGAATGCCAACGCCTCCCCATGGAAATGAAGCAGAGAGCTCCGCTCTCAGAAGACAGCCCTCGCCTGAATCTATCACAAAACACCGACAGATCTGGTATACTTTAAGAATTTCATATTAGTGAATCTCAGAACTTGTTTAAAATAAAACCCCATTAGCACCACAAAGCTATTGATCTAGCCAGGGCTTTCTGCAGAGGGGCACACTAGTCTGCCACAGCAACCAATCTGGGGAGAAGTTGGGGGACCTTCCACCTCTCCGTCTGAAAGTCACAAATGTCTGTGCTTGCCAGCCTCTTTCTGTGTTGAAAGCAATAAAAACTGGAAGCCAGTTTTGGTTAAAGCAGAGGAGAGAGAGAGAGAGAGGGCTGTGCAGCAGAGTAAGTACCCTGAGGACCTGACTTCCCCGGCTTTTCGGTCACTTACGTGTTTCTGTGAACTTTGGAAATAGGTCAAGAAGCAAAGGAAGAAGAGGCAGGAATGCAAAGGAAGGATATTCATGGAAGGTTCTAGAAACTTCCTACACCACCCCACCCACTATTCCTAATCACACACACTGGCTTTCACATTCATGGCTTCTTCACGGCTTTCAGTTTACCCAGGCCACAGACAACACGGTACTCACGGTACAAGCACAGATGTCTCCTGAGTGCTGGTTCCTGAAGCCCTATCCTTGATGCTGCAGCCATGATACTATGCTAAATGCCAATTATAGCCTCACACTGTGTGAAACCATAGAGTCCCTTCCGACAGTGTGAGAATGAGTTCTACAGATCAGATGTGCCACAAATAAAACTCTCGGTGACTCTTCCCTACTGAACCAAGCTCCGTGTTCTCTTAATTTTCTGTTCCCACACAGAGCCTGGCACAGGGAAGCTCAATGTGATTTCTGGAACTATCTTCCGTGTAACTATGGAGAGACAAGTAACCCACCTCACATTATCTGTCCCCGTGCCCCGCCCTGTAATTTGGCTTCTGCATGTGTTTACTACCAACAACTTCTCTTTCTAAACTGTCCTCAAAGACACACCAGTGAGGTTACACTTCATAGAAAAAGCCCATAAGGCAGGCTGGGCCCCCACTTACCGCTACTTCCACAGACTGCATGGAGAGGTCACATGGTGGCTTCAGAGCCTTGGGTCTGGTGGCATACCAGAAGGTGGTGAGCGCTGCAAAAGCTCCAAAGCCCATGAGGGTGTTGGTTGGAAGGGTGCGCAAATACTGCCGGATATCAATCAGCTCTGGCATTCGAAAGTACCGGAACAGTTCGTGGACTTCCATGGTCCTGTGCTGGTGGTTCCCTAGGCAAAATTCTGTTAGGAGAGAAAGATGCCAAGCTCATTCCAGGGAGCAGAACACTTCTTCAGAATCCCCACAGTCAGTCACCAGTGCTTAGCTTGCTGCTCGATCAAGACATTGAACCCACAGTCTAAGGATGCAGGTCTTGCCCCACAGTTAAATTTCACTTTTCTGGTAACACTCTAATTATTTAGCTGTGTTCCAGTTCTCCATTGTGCTGTATATAAAAAGTTTTCATTAACTACATTAAAATTACTCTAATTCTTGCCATAAGATGCTCGAGTGACTCAGAAAAGGTGGAAACGACAACTTTGTTCCCTTCCACCTAATCAAATGCACTCAGCCCTCATTGTCAAGGCTAACAGGGGTAATATGAGTGAAGAAAAGTGAACCAGCCCAAACCACCTAAGGGTCATGGGGTGCTGCTTTTACCAAGAGATTCCAGAACAAGTCTCCCAACTGGAAAAACAGACCAGCCTAAATTTCAACATGTCTCTCCGCTTCCCAGCAGAAGTGGCTATAAATGTCAGGAGATCCACAACCGGTTGTTCTAATTAGATCACTTTCTTTTATATTCCCCAAGATGTTGTTATACTGAAGACGAAGAAATAAATCAGTGCACATAAACTTTAAAACAAACACCAGAAGTCTGCAGAGGGGTTGTGGAACTGTATTTGAGAGAAAGTTAAAACGCTATTGAAGACCCTACTCTGGAAGCAACGCCTTTGCACTTCCCTGGCTGTGTGAACAGCTTCCCTCGCCTTGCTGAGCCTTGGCTTGTGTCTCTGTAAATGGAGATGAAAACGGTGCCCATTCCGGTGAGTTTTCGGGACTACGAAGGGACTCCCATCAACAGCAAGGATGGCGCCACACACAACAAATTACTCAATACATGTTAGATGCTGTTATTATTGCCTCTCCCAGAGATCTCTGACGAGTCCTGAGCTCAGAGTGCTAAGTTACTGGGGTGACAGGAATGCTTACCTGCATATTTACAGAGCCAAAATAAGAAGCCAAGATATACGGAAGGAAATTAAATGAACACTAATAGACACCAAAGCCCCGAATTGCATCTTATAAGCAATTTATACAGTGACTGGTGTAAAAGAATTAAGCGTTCACTAGAGGGCAAGAACAGTTCCAATTTAAAAGCTTATGAATGAATAATTGCCCTCCAGGCTGGCACACAGCAAAGGAAGAAATAAAAAATGAGCTGAGAGACTTCACTGAACCCCACAACAGTGCAACAAGTGCCCACGCTGCTACTCAAGTCAGACAGCATACATTCCTTTGAAAGCTAGGTCACAAGGCTGAAAATACATTTTCGAAATGTAGAAACCACCCTTTTAATTCAAATCTATACTATTATACTATGTTCCCCCACAGAGTAACAGAATGTCAAGCTGCTTTTCTGAACCAAGCATAAGACAGGACCCAACATAATATGTTTGCTCAGCTTGTTCAGGCTTGTGCTGTCACGGCTCGGGGCAAGAGTAAGCATGTATACATACATACGCACATACATATACATACATACACACACACACACACACACACACACACACTGATCTCAAGGTTAACATGATAACAGAGAAGATAGGCAAGCGTCTCCAGATTTTAAATCTGGAAAGAAAGCAGCCGTGCCTACTCACCATCTGTGCCATGGACAGCTGACTGCTAGGTGACACACCACAGCAGAATCAGAACAAGGCACTGAGGATGGGGTGGGGTGGGGTGGGGGCCAGGGCAGCTCAGCCGTGCTTACCAGGCCTGCCAAGGTCTTTCAGGGCATTGGTCACATGCTGAGTCCTACCCTGCTGCCTACTGGGCTAAAGGTAACTAGCAGACAAAATCCATACTTGACTTCTCAGGGGAACAGAGGGTGGAGGATGGGCCAATGAGGAGCTGGGAGTAGAGTCACCCCACTGCTCCACCCATGGGCAGGGACCAGCATCAGTGAGTGTTGCTGCCAGGGGCAGTTCTTCAAACAGACACTGTTTTCATTTGGCTCAGCTTCCCAATAAGAAGAAACAATGGATAGTTTTTTTCCCCCAACCATTGAAATGAAGGGTAGGCTACTGGGTGGTGTGTCTAACCACCATGAGACAGCCCAGAGAGAAAGACACCAAAACAACACTCACAGCGTATTTGCTCTCAATGTAGTCATAGGAGCTGAGCTCCTGTCCTCCTGCGTATCCGAGTACCAAGAGTACCAAGCACTGTGCTAGGAGCTGGGAAGACAGTGCTAAGGACCAAGTCAGCCTTTCAGGGGGTTAAGCACCTAATGTGGAACAGAATGAAATGAGCAAAGCCCACTAAGCATGGAGAAGGGCCCTTCTGAGAAACGGCTGCCTACTCTGAGACGGCTAGGATAAGCAGGTAAAATCGGGCCCAGGTCTCATTAGCACTGGCCACTGAGACCGCACAAACAGTACTCTAACTTGGCATACATACCTTCTTCCTGATCTAACATGCAAACCTGCCTGGCTCTCCAATCATTCTATCCCACTTATCTTGCTTACCCTTCATCACTCTGAGTCTGAAGAGGCATTATCCACCCCTTGCATATACACCCATGCCCTCTCCGGAGTCATTTTCATAGCATCTAGATTGTATGGATTTATAGGAGTTGAATACAGCAGAATTACATCCTTGAGTGAAACTACCAATTCATCTCTAGACAAACAGAGTCACACAGGGGACTAACTTATCTATTTTAGGCACTGGCAGCCAAGATATAGAGTGCACTGTACAAAGAAAGTTTAATAAGGCCGGAAAGAGAAATGTTTTAAAAACCTTCTGAGACTCATATATTAATAGCATGTATGCAAGAACCTCGTATTAGGATTTAAATGGTGAGCACTTAAATCCACCCAATTAGTATGTGATAATGACAAGTGATAGCCATTTAATGCTAGGAGCCAGGTGTACCAATCTGCAGACCAGCTCTACCGTGTAAATTGGTAAGTCTGTACACTGGAAACTATGCATGAGGAAGAGAATACATCATTTAGTTATGTCAAGAACAAATAGTAAGTACCCATAGCATTATAACCCTTTCTTCCTTCTACTTCAATGCTGTTAAGGAAAAGGTAGTCAGATATTTAAAATGCAGAGGTGGGCTTACTGTCAAACAAAATGAGACACTGTAAAGGCCATTTTATGAATATAGATACCATACTTAAGATTCAGTCCTGCTAGGTCTTTGAACACTTCCCAATAAATGGTTAAAACTAAGACACATTGTGTTCTTAAGTCAGTGGTATTGTGTTGGGAATTTTCTTGGATTTCTTTTCAGATGCAAATTTCCCTATCAGCAACTAGCAGAGCTTACAACTCAGGCACATATATCACACTGCTATCTGCTAATAGCATGATTCCGTTGGCTTAAAGTCTTAGGAAGACACACGTCTCCATGTGGAGCATTCAGACTTGCTGACGGCCAGCTGCTTCTTCAGCTACAGCCACCCTGTCTCTTCCCCGTGTGTGTGGGCGGGAGATGGTTCCGCAGTGTTCAGAGCACTTGCTGCTCTTCTAGAGGACCTAAGTTCAGTCCCCAGCACCCACACTGGGCAGCTCACAACCCCTCTATCTCCAGCCCCAGGGGACTCCACCTTGTTCTGACCTGTGGCACCCACATACATGTAGCATACAGAAATACAGACGACAATCCGAGACATTTTAAAGAAGTGTTTGCTCAGCTGGCTTGTTTGAAATGCCATTAATAATGAGTCAAAAAACCACAGAGTGACAGGAAACTAATAGTCGAGCCTTACAAACTTGGCGAAGAACAAGAATGGAGGATGCCTCTAGGTTCCTGTGGGTAGAGACAGGTAACAAGGGAGAGCGATGAAAACTGAATAGCACAACTGTCAAAACCCAGAAATGCCGGGACCTCTGCCCAAGCTTTGGACAGAATCACCATTTAGCAGTATTTAGTGCTCCAGGGAGTTTTTCACAGTCTGCGTCTCACTAGAATGCCACAATAGTAAAATGACCCTGAGGAAAACCAGAGCCAGAACCAGAAAGGCTTCTCTGGGGTGTCTGTCAGACCGGACTCTAAAGCCATATGACTGGCTCTTCCTCTTGGTTGTCCCCTGACCTGTTCATTGAGAACATATGCATGGTTAGCTGCACAATGGACTCCCAGTCCCCTTCAGCCTACACCAAGTGAGGAACTAAGAGAGCAGGACAGAAGGGTCCTTCCAGCAGTAATATTGCTTGGTGTTACGAGAAACCCAAATCTGAAATCCATTTGAACTCTCGATGTCTTACATAAATGCTACCATTGACCCTGTCTCCTTGGCCTCTGCACAAGTGGGTTCAGTGCCCGCTGGACACAGAGGCTCACCTCTTGTGTTTGCATTATAAAAAACAAACAAACAAAAAGTAGCTCAGAGCCTGGGGTGACCCACAAGGACATCATTCTCCCTAGGGACATACTAGGATGGATACACACATACGCACGTACACACGCACGCACGCACACACACGCGCATACACTCCTGCAATTCTGCAAAGTAAAATTCTTTTACTTACAGCATCATTTTATTCTCTCCTTGTGATCTAGAGCCTTGTGTGTTTCTCTTCTTCTGATGTTCCTCGAGCTCCCATCAATCTGAGTAACAGCAGTTTGATGGAATGCTCTACTAGGAATGCAGACCTCAAACAAACCCACACAAATTGCACACTTGCCTAACAGCAGCAAATTGAGAAGTCCTGACATCTTTCCTTAATGCAGCAAGCCAAGCTGGCACGACGCTGCCATTCCCTGCCCCACCTCCTCCCTTGACACAAGAAGCTATTTACAGGGCTGAAAGTGGCCCCTTTGTCTGGTACTAGCTGGGCAGAGCGCAGGCCCCAGGAGGAACAAGAGAGTGGCAGCGAGGCCATTTGCTGCTCTTTCAGTCTGCCACTCCGGAGTCACTGGAGTCGTGCTCCTTAACCCAGCCTGGCAAACCACCTAAAGCTAGATTTGTTTAAGCCAAAGCCTAGGAACCAAAGGGTAGTGGGG